ACCAGGTGGCGGAATAGAGAAAAGAAGCACAATGTCGCAACAAATCAAATATGTGAACTTGAGATTGCTATATTCAGAAGGATTAAGATGAAAACTGTCCACCTGCCCATATTCGGCTTGTTAGAGCAAACTGGTGGGGGGGGGGGGGGTTATAAAGCAGAGCTCTCCCTCTTTTGCCCCAAAATTTTAAACCTTTTTAATTGGGCCCGGGTCCGTAAATTTGGTTAAAACTCTACCAATTTTAAAAGGGTTTTCTGGGGTGTTTTGAAAAAACAAACCACTTTATTTTACCCCCCAATTTTATAACCAAAAACATTTTTTTCACNGGACTGCCAAAATTGGTTTGCTATAACAAGGTTTCGTTACATCAAGGTTCTTTTCCTTATATTTTACTATTTCTGGGATAAACAAAATCTTAAATGAGATGTCGAGGAGTTAGTTACATAGAGGTTCATTATATCAAGGTTGCACTGTTTTACGTATAATATTACCTGCAGCCATTTTTCAGCTGTATCTTGAAAATGAAAGATCATGATACCCTTAGATAAGAACTGGTCGGGTTGTTTTACTTAATATCAATGCGTACAAAGCGATTCAAAAAAGAAATCAAAGGGTGCCTATGGCTACTTGTGGATTAATTATCATAAAAATGAAGGCTGATATGGAACTTGCAATTTATTATTAGTCTACCGGTATATTTTAAGTCTGTCAAAAAATGAAGATATGTCTTAAGAAAAAAACAAAAACAAAACAAAATGACCAAAAAAAAGGAAGAAAAAGTTTCCCACAGCAGGAGTCGAACCCTGGACCTTCGATGTGTAAGGTCAACGCGTTATCTATTACACCATGACAACTTATGTTACACAGAGTCATTAAATTATGTTATCTTTAACAATTCTGCACATAGATGGTGTTTGAAGCTGGTAAAGCCATCCTGATTGGCTAATTAGATTGAACTTCCCGTTACGAGTGAGTGACACATTTGCATAGATTCTCAGGGCTGTGCTGTAGCAGAGCTAGGTGGCCCCTGGCACCTTACGTTTGCCCTTGGGTGACTAGCAAATCTCATATTTTTCATACAAATCATATGTTGGGCACCCTAGATTTTACAGTTTCAGAGCACTGGGCTCCCCTTCAATTTTCCTTAGAGCACAGCCTTGATTCTCCACAATACTCGTGGATAATCCACTAGTAAAAAGCCTTAACCCTTTAAGGCTACCATATTTTTTGCTTATAAGGCGCAGCACTATTTCAATGAGAGTTTGCTTGATGGCTCTGAATCTGTCGTAATTCCGGGGTGCTTCTTATAACTGAGTATCTTCAGGCGACAAAACGAAATTGAGTCAAATTTTTTACTCTAAAAGCTCTAGCTGCTCATCCTCTTCTTTTTTTATCGGTTATCAAGATTCCAGCTGGGTTATGTAAAACATGCTACTAGATGGTGTAACAACTTCTGACTTTTGAAATCTGCAGATCCGGCAGTTATTTTGAAATTTCTAACTGAGAATCCAGTTGCACCCTATTTAGTCATATTTGTGCATTGTTAGAGCAATGCATAACTCATTTATTCTGGCTTTAAAAGAAGTCGCTTACCTTAAATCTTCTTCAACATGTAGCAATGCAATTTGTCAGTTCATGGAAATACACCCAAAAGTTATTTGGTCAAAAACTGGATAGGTCTTATGCAGTTTTGACAAGCTATCAATCCTTGCATGTTTTAAGCATGAATTTTCCTCTGTCACAATTCAGGGTTGCCACTCATCAGAAAGTTAAAAATTCCCTGACTTTTCACCGATCTTTAAACAGTTTTCACTGACCTTTTATTAATGAGAAATAATCTATGTTTACATTTGCTTTAGCTTTTTTGCAAGCCATCAATATTGTTCTCTTCATTTTCAACCTCTCTCGGCTTTTGCAGCAAGAGGAAGAAGGAATTTGGTAGAAAGGATTCACTACAAAAACCACTGACCACAACTACTACATGTGTCAGGCGTAGAGTGTCAAATTGATTACTTTGTTTGCTTTGCAGCATACTTTTTATCTTTTCCGAAAGAAAATGCATTTCAAAGTCTTGAAGAAAACTTATGAACCATAAACCAGAAAACAGAATTCCCTTACTTTTCACTGACTTTGACAATATCAAAGACTTTCCCCGACCTTAAAAAATTTTTGTTTTTCCCTAACCGTGGCAACCCCGCAATTGTTCCCTAGGAGCACAGAGTGAACCCTGGTTGCCTAATTCTTGCTTAGGGTGGTACATGAAATTTTACGTTTCACTCTTTTTCAGTTATGTGTGTAGGTGTGCCATGTTAAAGTATTCTTTAGAACATCACCTAATCCTTCTTACTTTGGGTGGTTCTGGCCCTTACTTCATGCCTGGCTCTATTAATGCTAAAGCTGAACATACACAGCTAGGGTCATCAGCACTCCTTTGCAACAAAGCAACACTCAAAAAATTTCTCCACCACTTTTAAGAGGTTCATACGGTACTGATTGAACAAAGCGACCTCTTACATAGAAGGAGGGCATGTTAAAAATATTTGCTTCCTGTAATGGTTTCATCATCTTATTTGGAATGACAACTGCATGGGGTCCTTTGCATATAACATTCAAAGTGAGTGGGCTTGTTACAAGGGTATAACAATCTGATTGTAAGTTTGCAAGTGAGGAAAATATATTGCATATCTGCTCTCATAAGTATGTAGCTAATGAGACTTTTCCACTTCAGTTATTGAGAGAATGATGGGTAACTGTTAAAAACAAAAAAAGGCCCTGTGTCTGCTCCCCTTAAATGTTGTTGTTTTCTGTGATATGTCGCATGAATTTGCTGCTTTTCTTTAACCAGGAGATCAAATCCTAAATTCCTGTCTGTAGTTTGTTGACTTATGCGAGAAAACTAGCCACTGCTGATTGAGATAAGTCCTTTATTCTTAACCTAACCACTTTTAATAACAGCTGAGTTTGAATACACATCAATCTAAAAAATTCATGAAATAAAAAAAAGTTCTAATAATTAAAATACTGCAACTTGATGGGACCTTTCTAAGTGATGATATCTGCGAATGTGAGGTAGCCTATACTGCATCTTAACTGGCCGATCAACTGCAACTGCGACACTGTGATTCCTTGGTTCTAAGGTCCTGGGTGCCTTAATGTAACTTATGTCTGGCTATGTTGACTTAGACTTCAAATGCGACAAAACCTAGGTATCAAAACAGAACAGGCTTAGCCTTCTTAGAACAACAACATTAGTATTAGTTTTAATCATCAACTACATTGAAATACTGACCTTGCTTTTGACTGCTTTCGAAAACAAAGGAACCGGAAAATTTAATGTGAACATGGATTCACATGTTTTTTTCTCTTTGACTCAAAAATAATGATAACACATTTTGCCACGATGATATAAAGCTTTCCGTGAACCTGAATTTAACAAAACACTTTGGGATTTACTTTGGGCGAAACAATGAAATTTGCAATACCCAGTTTTTTTGTACAAACAGGAGATTCTCATATTCTACCCTGGGTGGCAAAGGTTTTTTCTTGCTCAATTCCTTTATAAATTCATGCACACAGGTTATTCCATCCTAGGTATTTCGAGAACGGACCTCTGAAGCCAGTGTTCCCGTATTCCGGTAATAAGTAGGAGAGATTCCTGAAGGATGCATCACAAAAAGCAGTTTTATTTATTCATTAAGGTAATACAAATAGTTCCTACCTCATGTTCTAGTAGGGCCTGTATCGCCCTCCTCCTCTGCCTCCCGCGCCAGGATACGATTGCTGTGGACCATAACCTGAGGCAGCCTGTTGGTACATTCCCATGCCTCCATAAGCATCATAGCCAGTTCCATAACCCTGGGTGGCATAAGAGTAAGAGGTATCATATCCACCGCCATAAGCATCATAGCCGCCTTGGTATCCACCGCCTTGGTAATAACCGCCACCGCCACCACCGGGGCCGCCGCCAGATCGACCGCCCCTGGACCCCCCTCGGCCACCACCCCGACCGCGACCACCACCTCCTTGTCCTTGGCCAGACTTATCTTTGGGTTCAGCCTTTTTTATTTCCACCTTCTTTCCACAGATGTCGATTTTTTTGATACAACAAAGTTCGTCGACTAAGTCTTCGTCATCAAACTCGACAAAGCAGAAACCACGGTGCTTGGAAGGGGCTTGCCCGTCGTCGCTTTTTCGCATTATTAAATCGACGCTGGTTGGAGCGATGTTGCGAAGATTCTCGGCGAGCGCCGATCGGATGTCCTCTGCAGTTGCCGCGTCCGCTAAACCCCCAATGAAGATTTTCTTTGTTTTCAGATGAGCTGTGGAACTTTGGTCTTCTCGAGGAATGGCGCGTTTGACTTCGACTTCCTTTCCGTCAATTTTATGAGGACCAGTATCTCTCTTGTACTGCAACACTGGGATTACACTGCTCGGGTCTTTATAAGTTACGTAGCCAAATCCTCTGGACTCTTTGGTGCCGCTGTCGCGGATTACAACACAGTCCGACAGTTCTCCATACTCCTCGAAATATGCTTTCAATGTTTCGTCGCTGGTGCTTCGGTTAAGACCGCCGACAAAAAGCTTCTTCAGTCGATCGTCTGAGTTGCCTTCACTTGACATAGTTTGAACTTACTGCTTAGAAAGTCAAGTAAAGTGTGTAAAGACGTTTAAACAAATAACTGTAAAGTTTTACGCGCTGAGTAAAATCGCTAAACTCCACGCGGAACGAAGGACGCGAAAAAGAGGATGAAAGACAGCACCGCCGAGCCAGAATGGGTAGCACGTGTTCTTCGAGCTTCAAATCTGATTGGTTGCAATTGTTAGATGAGTATGTTTTGATTGGTTCTGGGAGACAAAAGACAAAAGAGAATCGATTATCGATTTCAGACAGCGGGCTCAAATTCAAGATGGCGTTCAAACAGAGGTATTTGAAGAAAAGTGCAAAACACTCAAAGATTGCACGATCATTGTATAATGCTGAACAATAATTTATTTTTTCAAGGGTTTCAGAGTTCCAGACTGTCCTTGCAGCACGGGAGATAGACCTCAAACATCTTAAGCGACTGTGTTTTAGTGGTAAGCCTTTTGAATTATCTTAGCTTGCATCATATTGATCTTTACAGTTGTAAAAACTAGGTAAGTAACTTTTTGTGTGGACTGTTGACCCGAAAGAAGTCATGTCAAAGTTTCACGTGTAAACATTTATCAACAGGTATTCCCGATGGATCCGGAATCCGTTCATTGTGTTGGAAGGTGTGTTGCTTAAGTTTGTTTTTCCTCTGGCGTTGCATGATAATTATGTGCATGGTACCTTACAGCGCTGAATACCAACGCTAGGAGTATATTTAAAATGAGGCATTTTTTGTTGTGAGTGCACTCTACTTTATTGTTTGTGACTCCTTGTGGGACTTTTTCTTGGACCTACTCTTGTAAACAAGGATTCGAATTCATCTCATCTTCGATTTATATATGATGGCGTGACCGTGACAAAGGGCACAGGGGACTGTTTCTCACATAAAAGTATAATGAAGATAAGGAAATGAAACAAGGCCCTTTTTGTGGGTAGTGGGGATATGTGTGTCCCTAGACAGAATTTTACAACCCTGAACCTGTTTGTTTCTTTCCTTTTCTATTTTGTTTTCATTTTTTATTTAATGATACAGACTTGTACATTGCCATACGGGTACCTCCATCGCACACAGGGTGTTGATATTACATGCATGCCTGTTTATAGAATGGGGTGTCAATTTCTTGTTGCAAGTAATGTATATTGGCAGATAAGAACTGGGAATAGGTAAATGATCACGAAATTTCTTCAGGATGTACTTGTTACAGTTACAGTTTGAGATATTAGGTGATGTTTTCTTATAAAATTTTCAGCATTAGTTTTTATATTGATAAGACATGTGTCTGTTGCATTTTTTCTGGAAGCCTGCTGAATACAGACATCTGGATAATATGGACACTATTGTATGTCCAGTGCATGTCCCCATCAACCGGGTTCCGCTGTATATTGAAAGTCAGCTGAGAAAGAGTCTGAAGTCAAACAGTGTTAACAGGGTTGTTCTTTTCTTATCAATACCAATGAACATTATTATTTTTGAAGCTTCTTTTAGGTTATCTTCCTTCTCAGAGGGATCTTTGGCCTGAGACTCTCAAGAGACAGAGGTCTGATCAATTAGCCTTTCTTTAATCTTACCAGTATCAAAATTGAATATAAGATATCAAGTCCATTAAATCATCTATAAATCAATCAATCAACTTGTGTTGTGTGATTTGTTTTAGTATTCCTGCTTATTAAGGACATTAAAAGATAAAGAGAAAATTTGTTTAAAAAAATGCACAATAAAGTTTTAATGAATTACCATGTATCAGTACACCATCTTGTGAGGCAGCTTGGCCTAGTGGTGAGAGCACCAAGGTTCCAATTCAGAGACCCTGAGTTCTAGTGCCATCCTGATTGCTAGCACAATTTGTTCCCATAAGTCCAGGGTTTTAAACTTGTTGGCTATACATGTGGATAGCCAACTGGTTTGCCTCTGGCCAGTTGGGATTCTATTTATTGCAGGTGACAAGAGAAGCCCACAGCCCTAATCTCCAGGTTGTTATTACCCATGCATCGAATGTCTATAGCCAACATTTGCTTGGACTTCCACTAAGAATGAATGGAATGTACTGAACGCAATTTGATAAAGCGTGTTTCAACCTTCTGCCCCTCATAATCTGATCACACGTGTTTTGACCACCTGTTACGAGAAACCTGTGCAAAGCACTCACTGCATAGGAGCAAAAGCGTTTGATCTTAGATCGTTGTCACCCGCACTCCGTAACCTTTGGTAATTACTAGTTTATTATTATTATATCTGCTTCTGTCTTTATTTGTGGACCAAAATGTATTTGTGAAGTTCTGATCAATTTTGTGCAATGCTTTTTCACTCCAGTCAGTACAAGTTTAATTTCTTTTTCCTAATTCTTAAATATTAAGGACTAGGGGACAGATTTAGGAAATTGAGAATCAAACTAGCTCGTAACATCTGCATGATCAACCTGACATCAACTTTTTTTTTCACTGATGAAGATGGAGAGATTGAGACAAAATCTTTGAATTCAATAATTCAAATAATATTGCCCTTGGTCAGGATATTTTGTGGAACATTTCTGCACACTTGTAGAGGGGGAAGTTGCTATAAAATGCTAGTTTTGGCCTACTCCCTTGTTTACCACATTATTTCAGTGATTTTTTTTCTTTTTTATATCTGTTTGTTTTCAGGTCGACTTACAGGCAGTTTGTTCAGGAAATAATCATCGAACAATGCAAAGGAACAAAGTCTGGCAAGGATTCCAAGGAATTTGATGTTGATCATGTATGTAAGGAAGCGTTAGTACCTATGTTATAACTGATCAAGTGCACAAACAAACTTCCAGCATATAAGAATATGGGCAGAATGTGCAAGTCGAACACTCCTACTTGCTGATGGCTAGAAATGAATAGTAATGCATTAGCTAGTCCATGATTTGTAATTTTCAACGTTTGGTTGCTCATCCTGTGTCCAAGTAACCTGACATGATAAATAAAAAAAAATTAAGATAATGATTATTATTGTTTTCACAGTGAGAAAATCTTTTTAGAAATAAATACTGTGTGTTGTATCTCAAATAATTTAAAAAAACACATGTCACATTGCAACATGTAAGCTTGCTGTTCTGGTGCAATCAAACTTAAACTGTGTACGTCACAGAACTCAAGGTAATAAGCCATATTTAATTTTGTTTGAGGTGAAGATGTTGTAGGTAAAATCTGTTTTCAGGTAAAAGAAGAGTTTGTTTTGCCTTCTATTATGACCAGGAAACAAAGGAAATTTTGAATCAAAATAGGTTGAATTCTGATTTAACCTGAGAACAAATTTTACCTACAACAGAGATTTGGACACAACTTTATTACTTCCCCAAAGAGAATCAGTATGGTTTTAAACACTGCCATGTAAGACTCCAGGAAGCGGATGAAGAAAAATGTTAACAAGAAGGGCAAACATTCTGCATAGAATTGTAAAGGAAATTTATCTTGTCAAAATTGGGTGAGGTTATAAAGAAGAAATGTTTTGCAGTATGTGCAGGGGTTTTCCTGTCCTAGGCTTGAAACTGCACCTGATACTGTTGCCAGTGTGAATAAGACTTCAACCTTGGCAACTTTGGGGAGTTCTAAAAAATTAAACTAGTTAAGTTAAGAAACATCTGCCCTTATTGCTTTGCAACAAAGAATGTGGTCTGATCAAGTCAAAACAATTATCAATTACCTTGCAATGAGCTGTTGATTCAGGATGAACGCGCTTGGCGCACTTTAGTCTCCTATTTTTTGTGGAACAAGATTTGGATCTGAATTTTTGAGTCAACTGTTCATGATTTTTTGCCTTTCTCTTTGGCCTCCTCGGTCTGAATCATGCTCATTCAATGAAAGATATTATTTTTCAGTACAAGTTAGATGACAAAGTTGTTGTTGACAGATAAAACTGATGACATCACGTGTGGTACTAGGGATGTGGATCAGCACAGGCAGTTCAGGGGAGAATGGGTTAAGAAAGGCTCTATTATAATGATGTGACGCTTATACTTTGTTAACCCTGTAAATACCATCAAATCCTGTGGTTTCATTAAATTAGTTCCTGTGCTCAAGAGTGGATATTATTTTGATATTTGACAGGCCGTTAAAATAATATGCATGTATTATGTTGTTTGTTTGTAGCCGTTGAATCCTAACCCAGACAGTAATTGGCTAGCTTTCTTTAAAGACAATGAAGTGTTGCTGCAGATTGACAAGGATTGCAGGTAATACTCCTCCTCACCTTCCATCGTGTTGAAACATTGCTATTGTAATTTTTAAAAAATGTTTTGAACTCTCCAGGAGTTATATCATAAGCAAGGCAAGTTCTCTTAGGCCCTGTCCACACATGTACAGATATTTTAGAAAATGGAGATTTTTCCTTTGTTTTCAAAAAAATATGTTTCTGTTGTAGTTAATTTTTTATCTCACTGATCACTTCACAACCCTAGATCTACCTAAATTAATTAATTAAAATGGTTCAAATGAGAAGAGAAAGTAATGTTTATAAGACTATTTGTAGCTGCAAAAAGCTGGTCAGTGTCATTTTTTCAAAATTGCATTAGAGATAATCAAAATTTTGTCTGTCTGTTTGCAACCATTAGGCCTTTTGTAATAGCTATTAAGTATATATACATGTAAACAGTTTATAAGCAAGGAAAGAGTTACTTATATAATAATCCTACCATAATGATATTTCTGTAAATAAGTTTTCTATCCTCACATTTGAAACCTCATTAATTTTACTCTAAATACCTGCAGCAATTTGTTTTGAGAAAATAATTTTATTAGGAACTGAAAGAGCATATAGAAATTGGCCAAGGTGGAAACTGGAGGTAAAATGTCTGGAATTGACGTAACAGAGAGGAAACTGTTCTCTTTAAAAAAATGGTTCAAATGAGAAGAGAAAGTGGTGTTTCCTTGAAGTTGCCTTCAGGTGTTCTTTTATTCTGTTTCATAATCCCCACCCTTCCCCCCCCCCCCTTACTCTACCCAAAATGAGTGCCTGATTGAAGGTAAGCTATCCTCACAATATCCTTATTATTTAAAAATGGGAGCATGGGGGAGGAGGGGTGATTATTTGAGTAGATTGATTACTTTGTTATGGCCATTGGGGTAGGTGCTTTTTTGATATTACAGTGGAACTTTGCCTTATATCCACCCCACTTATTAGTTATACGACCACCTTGTCATTAAGACTACATTCTTTACACCGGCCCCGTTGATATGACCAACTTGTTATTACAACCAGGACTTTGTGGCCCAACATTGATCATATTAATGGGTTCTACTGTACTGTAGTTTTTTTCTTTATTTTTGTTTTAAAAGGAGGCTTTGTCCTGATATTTCATTTTTCCAAATTGCTACAAAATACCCAAACAAGGAAGTTATAGCTGGTAAGTGATGGAAGGTGAGGGATACTGGATCCATAACCAGCAAGTTAATCAATTCTCTTTAAATTTGCTTTTCTCAGTCATGTTCTGTGAATGAGAAACACCCCCTTATTGTCTTTAAAGTTAGATAACCCTTCTAATAATAAATTGTTTAAAATAGACATACAAGTCACCTCTGTACCATCCTTTTTTGCTGGGAAAAAGGCTAATTTAACCTATTTTCACTGCCTACAAGTCATTATAATCAGGCATGAACTGAAGAGAGCAGCGGCTAAGGACTAGTAGGGAAGGGAAGAGCCATACAACCTACATGTACTCTGCCGAATTTAAAAATAACTTTACCACAGTTGTTGGAAAAAAAAAATAACGCATATAAAGTAGCATGTGGGCAATCAGGATCAAAGTCCCTAATCTTATTCTTGTAAAATTCTCTGCAACATTTTTTGAAACATGACAGGCTTAGGTCTTCAGTCCTAACCTTCTTGGGTGAATTATTCCATGGGTGAAATAAAGAATTCCATTTAAAAGTGTTCTCTTATTAAAGCAGTTTGGTTGTCTTAGTGTATTTCTTGAAAAGAACCTTAGTCTACTCATTTTCATGTTTCATGTACAATAATCTTTGTCTGAGAACATTTGATTGCAGGTTTGGTTAAAAATAAGCTGTTTTTTTTGTGGCGTGTGTGATGATGACCAAGAATGTTGTTAATATTCTTCAGGAAATGACAGAGAGTTTGAAACTTTAAGAGAGCGAGTGTTAAGAACCCACCTGGAGGCATCTCAGGTCAACACCAACAGAAGTGGATTAAAAAATGTGAGGAAAAGGGACTGTTGAATTTATTTTGTTTGCTTACAGCTAGGGTTGTAGGAGTGAATATTATCATCTGTGAAGGAGCCCTGTCGGGGCAATGTGAAGATATTTATTACAAAAAGGGCTCGCCTGCTGAAGTTTACTAGCCCAGTGCAGTTTTGTAGGTCTAGGAATCCCCTTTTTGCTAAGTTACTGTATTTATTCGGCTATAAGCTGAGCGATTTTACACAAATTAATGCTAAAGTTCAGTGAAATGTGAGTCCAGTAGGGGTCTCAGCTTATAGCTGGGTGTTTTGGATTAATCTTTCATTCTTGGTTTTGCTGATTCTTCGAGTTCAAAGTTAAGGGTCTTAGCTTATGGCCGAATAAATACGGTACTTTATCTTGACGAATGTTGGTTACCCATTGGGCAACTCATTATTAAAACATGTGGCCCAACAGGTTCCTTCACTGACCCATATTGATGAAAAGCGAGTGCTTGCTCAAAGTTGTATGTTTTACTTTCTATAAAACTATATTTTGTTTTTACCTCATTGTTTTTTAAAGCTTTTTGAGTTTACAAAAACATTGAAAGATGGTGTAGAAACTGTTTACAATCCACTTTGAGAAGGCAGCGTGATCGAGCAGTTAGAGCGTGGACTTGCATTCCAGAGTACCCGAGTTCAAGTCCTGCCCTGACTGCCATCTGGATTTGTTCTCTGTAGTCCCAAGTTTATCTCCTCAGTCATGCTTTAAATAGCCAACTGGTTTGCCTCCAGCCAGTTGGGATTCGTAACCTTGTTTTTTTCCATTTAAATTTTTTCATTTCATTATCTCTGAAAAGCCCCATAAGGGGAGAGGATAATTAAGGATTTATTATTATTATTATTATTATTGAGACCAAGAACTTCTTATTCAGCAAAAAGATATTTTTGGAAGGAGAGACTTTGCAAAGAATGATTTGCGCTGATTTGTTATGGCACATGCACCTGGCAACAGTCTCATTATTCCACTGCTATCTGTGAGCCAAATAAAAAGTTGTTATCTTTGATTATGTTATAAAAGAAATGGTAAATTTTGCAGCTGGGCAACCATGTAGTTTTGGCTGCACTTAGGAGGTTTTTGTTAAGAACTCATGCAAGAAGCTAAAGTTTGCTCTTTACAATAGCCTGCATAGCAGGTATCAGTTAGTTGTTTGGTTATGTAGTTTTTTCGCTCATGTGCGCACATGTGTCCTCAAAATTTTTGCCTTTGCCGGCACCTACTGTACAGGTCATCTCAGCTATGCCTCCACCAACTCTTTTGCTTCTTTCATGTATAGCAACCTCCCACATACATCGATTGCAAAATTCGCTGGTTCTGTGCTACATGTTTACCGATGAAACATTGCACTTAGACTATGAAACACTTTTGGGAAGTAACAACATACATATAACCCTCTACCTTAGTTTTTATTAAGAGAGGAGAATTGTCTTAACTTTACTTTTTGTTCTGTCAGTTGTCTGCTCCTAGGAAGATTGCCTCTGAGGAGTACCGTGTACTTGGAGATGACGAAGAAGCTCATTGGGAGGTCACAGAAAATTTTTTTCTTTGTTTTGTTTTTTCTTTGTGGGCATATTTAGTCCATTTTATAATAACCACTTATTTTTCACCAAGTGAGAAGGCCTTTTGCTTCAGTTAGCTAAGTATGAGTTTGACCTGCCTTTACTTATTTGTATGAGACTGTGTTCTTGCTGGTTTTTCTACAATTGTTTTGCAAGGATTAAATCTCAGAAAAGGGTGTCCTTTGATCACAGAAAGGTTTGCCAGTCCAAACTCATTATCTGTTAAAAATGAGAAAAATGGTAAATATTGCTGAAAAACAAGTAGCACTATGGTAAGACCTTTCTCTTATTTGGAATTAATGGTCATATCATGGAATTTTAGCACCAGACGCAGTGATAAGAACAGACGCAGTTACCTGTCCCAATCCAAATTATCTTACATGTATTGCTTATTTTTTTCATTTCAACCGGCTAATTGGTCCTTGGTTACATAGAGCTCTGTGTTTAATTCTGTAATTAGAGACTGAAATGAAACACTCCTTTTTATAACTTTCAGGTTGTCGAGAGAATATTGTACATTTACGCTAAACTTAATCCTGGTTTGGGTTATGTTCAGGTGAGAGATTTCTCCTCTTAGTAAATTTGTCTTGATGTTACATATAGCTGTACTTACAGTTTCAAAATAAAAGCGGCAACAAATAAGATTATTGGATTCCGGTCTTGATCAGGAGTTATTCGTCACCCCTTTTTGTAGACGAGAATGTTTAAATTACATTTGTAACATATATCCGTTTTTGGTTGAAAACGGAGATTATTTTTCCGATTTGGCTTACCGAGTACACGTACTCGGTAAAAACAGTCACCGAAATTGCATCTTTTCAAAAACGCTCTCCAAAGTGGAGATTTTTCAAAACGCTGGCTTTTCGTCTACGTGTAGACGGACGAAAACGGAACTTTTCGAATACGAGATGCCGTACAATACATGATTTACTACTAGCATTACGCATGCTCTGTGAGGGATGCTATCTCAACTCATTTCCATTGTAAAGCGTTTTCGTATGGACGGGCGAAAACGATTCGAATACGCTACACGTGGACGCATACATATTTGAAAACAGAGGAAAAACATCTCCGTTTTTAAAAATATTTGGATACATGTGGCATGTGGACCAATTTGAGAGGCTTTTTGGTTGCTGTACATTCCTCTTATCGATCGAAATGACTGCTTGGATTTATGAAGTGTAACTTTGCTTTTTGATGTCTTGCAAATAGTCCGGACTAATAGTAGCTACATCTATGGTTTGTTCCATATTTGATGAAAAAGGCAGCTAAAGTTTGTGTTATCTGTGTTTCTTTTTTTTTTTAGGGAATGAATGAAATAATTGGTCCACTTTACTATGTGTTTTGTTCTGATCCAAATCCTGAATGGCAAGGTCAGTAGTTTGAATTATCGTGGTAAAAACTACAATCATTTACAATAACTATGCTTTTTAAACCCCTCCAATTTCTTTTCATTTTCACAGAAAATGTTGAAGCGGATGCTTTCTTCTGTTTTACAAATTTGATGTCTGAAATACGAGATAACTTTATCAAGACCCTTGATGACTCGGCTTGTGGAATAGGTATGATTACAACGGCGATTTAAAGACAGTTACTCTAGGGTTACCGTATGGTCGGTCATGATACTTAAGCCGTTACAGGCCCAGTATATCAGTCACACAAAGTAGCATCTGGCACAAGCATCTCTACAAAAAGAGACCAGGTTTCCACAGGTTTTGGTCTGCACTGTGTGGTTTTCGGCAGTTAAATGTTCTATACTATTAGGCTACATTAACCCTGTTAGAGAGAAACAACTGGCACCACTGATCTGGTCCCATAGATGTCTAGTTTACAGAGACTTCACTTTCAATTCATTTGCTCATGAGACCTTTTCACTTTAATTGGTTGGGCACATGACTTCAAAGCGGTAGATTTTAACCTGAAGATACTCTTTGTCAACTGTGTTTTAGGAAATATGATGAAAAGTGTCAGGAACTTGTTAAGAGAGAGAGATCTCATGTTATTCACATACCTGGTAAGTTCAATTGTTTAGGTTATTAATATTATGTAGCTGAAAGAAGTGAAAATTTTAGTATTGGCGGCAAGGTTGAAGTAATCGTGAATTGTTTCTTAAGCCCCTCCCCCCCTCCGCCTCTACGACGAACTTACTTTTTGAGTCCCTTGTCATTTTCGGTTACTTAAATTAGACTAAATCATATTAAGGACATTTTTCTAAGGATGTCTTTTTTCTTTCGTTGGTTTGTTATATTTTCGCAATCTCTCTTTCTGAAAATATCGACTGCGTGGCTTCTGAAAAAACATTTCAAAAACATTTCTTTCATTGTAGGAAGAACAAGAGATGAGTCCTCAGTTTTATAGTTTTAGGTGGCTGACGCTGCTTTTATCTCAGGAGTTTGCTCTTCCAGGTGTGTAATTCACTGTCCTTTACATACAGCGTTCTGAATCCTGTGCGTATTGTTATTCGTCATTAGGGGCTTACTGTAAGCAACTACCATCAGCGCCGACCGTAGGGAAAGCATCACTTAAAAAGTAAATTTGCCATGTTTCAAACTTCACCGCTAATATTCCATATCGTTGAACTTTTTAAATGTAGGGGAATTTATCTGGAGTTGAATTGTTAAGGACTGTATTAGCGTTCAGTTAAAGAAAGCTAAAAACGTGGAAAATGTTTACGTTCTCCGTTAAAAAATGAAATTGGGAAATTTCTTGTCGAGTCTTGCACGTAAGAGAACTGTTGCTGCGCTTGCAAAGTTGTAGTTTTGCCGCTTTTTAAACCTATGGCTTTTTTTGTGTTCTCGTTGCTATTGCTGTCGTTAAGACATTTTTTCCTCTGTTTTATGTCTGACCATTATTTTTTCATTTCAGACGTTATCAGAGTATGGGATTCTCTGTTTGCCGACGAGAAACGTTTCGAGTTTCTCATTTATGTCTGCTGTGCTATGCATATGTGAGTCTGATAAAATTACTGTGAAGTGAGGACTTTTCGTAAGTCTTGCGTATTGTTATGGTTTAGTTCAAAATTAATCAATCCGGGTCATGCAACCTGCTCCAATCCAACGAGTTCTCAGAAAAAAAGATGTCTGAAGACAGCAAAAGATGTGTAGATAAATCAGTATGCCACTTTGTGATAATTGTAGATCCTTCTTTCTGCTAACAAGTCATTAAATATCCGTTTATTCATATTTTAGAGTTATAAGGGAACAACTTCTTGCTGCAGATTTTGCTACAACAATGAAGCTTCTTCAGGTACTATAGATAATATCTGTTTCATTGCAAAGCTGTGTATTTTTATGCTGTCCACATTTTATAGACGACAGTTTACAGTGGGTTATCCCGCCTTTATTCTTCGTTGACAGTCTTGTCTGTGATAACCCCCGCATCTTGCTACAATCTTGTTCGTCCTGTTTTTGTTTGTTTGTTTGTGTTGTTTTTGGTCCTTAGATAGTTACACTTAAATATTTTTAGCGCTCTGTATTTTACGGCCGGCAATAATAGACCCTTTCACTAGGTTTTTCTCGACTTTTGACTGGGACCAATTAGCGATAAACGGCGGTATTGTAACTTGTTAACGATTGGCGAAGTATGCGACATTTCAACAACCTACTCCCCTCCCCGTTTGATTTTCAGGTACAAAAAAACGGTGAAATGATGGTTGATGTCGCCTTTGGTTTCTTTCCTTTTCAGAATTATCCAGATATTGATATCCACACAATTCTCTCGAAAGCAATGGATCTCAAACGACCCAAAGCAGTGTTTCCCAATTCCCCTCGGACACGACAAAGACAGAAGGCTGGGTTCAATTTCAAGAAGAGATGACACTGGCTTTCATGAGATTATCCTAGCATTCATTAGAAACCTTTGGATTTCAGGACGAAGACGACTAAGGGGACGAAAGTTAAAGTTTTTTTTTCGTGCATTTTCAAAAAAATCAGACACCGAAAAGCTTAATTTTACTTTTTTTGACCTGAAAAGCTAACACAGTTATTTTTAATGGAAAATGTGAAGCCCTCTCCCGAGCACAGAATGCCCAAACTTCTAACATTCTATACGACATTCTCGCTTAACCCGACGTAGAATAACGACGGCTACCACGTTTTCCCGCCAAAATTACTTAGTATTGAGAAAATTTCGTCCTCGTAATCTTTGTCGTGTTAGAATCTAAACGTCTCTTTTGATAAAGTTCTAAGAATGAAGGACCTGGATTCGGAACCGGTCAGTCAGAAAAAGAAAAAAGTTTTGATTAGCATACTGAGTTTAATTCTCAATTAATTTCATCGATTTGAGAATGCCAAAATGCCAAAATTAGAATTTTCATGCAAAAAGTGTATATGTATATTTGTAAAGGGCTGATCTGTTGGAATGAAATGCTGCCATTATAACAGAAAGTTATTTGATTTCCCAGTGCAGTTAAATATATTGAAAACGTTGAAAACGAAATGACAGAAAATTTAATTTTTGGTATCGGTATTTTTGTTCTTCTTTCTCCGTTCTTGAGTTCTGTTGGTTTGTCTTTTTTAATTTTTTTTTTTTTAACAGAAAATTATTATAACTATAATGTGCATCCAATTGATTAGTATTATATCCATCCTTATATTGATATCCGTGTTGGATGTGTGATATAACGCTACTGTTTGCAACCCAGCAATGATAGAGAATATGTGGAAAGTTTGTGACTGAAAGGAATAGACTATATGTATGAGATTATACTTTGTAATAAAACAAGTTACAAACTAGGTATATTTTTCACTAGTCGCTTTGCGTAAAAGGTTTGTCAAATGATATCAAGTTTGCAGAGGACTGTTGCTGCCCTATTAAAGTGGCGTCTTTCCTTAATCCAGATAATCTGAGAGTAGCTCTTCTAAGCGATTAATATTGTTTGGTCACCCCTCTTTTTGCTCTTTAATTTAAAGTCGTTTAATGAACCCAAATTCTCGCGTTTTCGTAAAGTACTTACTTGCAAAAGTGTTTAGATGCTTCAACAGGTTTTACTTCTAGGCCCAGTTCAAACGTCGACCTACCGAACCTGTTCCCCTCAATTAAGTATATGAAAAGATCGACGCCTGAATCAAGTAAGTCCGGCATATCTAAATTGGGTCGACCCATGAATTAAGGCCGATACACAGGAGGGGTTTTGATCCCGGAGCATGCTCCAGGCTCATTTTGCACGTGTCAGTACACACGAGGGAGCGTTTTCAAGTTCGCTCAATTTGCCCCGGGAGCTTGCTCCCAAATATTTAACCGGTTAAATATCGTCGAGCATTTTGCGGGGTGGAAATTCTGCTTCCGAAGATGAAGTATACCATGAAATCGTTGGTACACACGGAGGAGCTTTGCTCCCGGAGCGTGGAGCAAAATCCCTCGTGTGTATCGGCCTTTATAGGCTCAGTCGGGTGGCAGGAATGTCGACTGTGTTTCAAACGTCGAACTTTTCATGGCCGAACCTAATGCATAAATTACTATAATTTATTTCCAATTTACTGATAAACATGAATTGAGTCTGGCTAATTAAGGTCAACGTCTGAACCAACTGACCGTTGCACTTATATCATTTGATCGACACAAAAGTACACGTAAAGTTCGACGTTTGAACTGGGCTTAAGCATACAGTCAGTTATCGATCCACCCTCGATTTCTCAATCAAATCTCCCGAAGACTCGTAACCAACATTTTTAACCTCCCATTGTATGGGACATGGTTGCTATTTGTAAACAAGTCGTAAATAAGTAAAGTGTTGAACGTTCTAGTCCTGCGATGCGACCACATCACTGCTATTAGCCAAAATTAATTCACAAAGTTAGTGATTAGTACCTGCTTAATTTTGCGTTGAATGTGGCTTTCACCTCACTACCAGCACGTTGCTCGCTTACACTTCCCTTATAAGCAAACTACTTCGGACTGTCAGAGAATCAATTCCTTGTTACACTGACACTAGACAATTTTTCTTACAACTACACCAAGTCTCGCAATTTTGTTGTCCGCTGCGAGACAGGCTGAACGAAGCCGTTGCGTGGTCAACTCCCCCTGAAACGTTCATGTCTCGACGTTTCCATAATGCAGCATACAAGCGTTGCGAGAACTTAAACTTGATTGAAGTCTTCCGCTTCGACGAGTAATTCGTGCAATAGTGCCGCAACTAAAGTGACACAAGACAGGTTCCGGGCATTTTCAGGGGGTATTACCTGGCAAATTTTTCTTGCAAGTTATCTTATGGCAAAATTGCGAGGCGACTTCCGTCCAAAAATTTGTCCAGTGGAACAGGGCACTGGCTAACTGTAAATCAGATCTCAAGCGTCTTGAAAACGAAAATTGTTTTATTATTTGGGGTATATTTTTGAAATCTAAATGGGGATGTTCTCTCAACGTTTCGCTTTAAGCTGATTCACGTTTACTAAGCTAGCCATGCCGGTCACTTCCATGATGTGTCCATACTGCATGTTATAGGCGCTAAACTGAAAAACGAAACAGTCTCTTGCACGTCCTTAGGACGACGACAACGACGACGATAATGATGATGATGATGATGATGATGATGATGATGATGATAGAAATATCGTAATTGTCATGTAAAAACTTTTGGACACCTCTAAACTAAATAACACAAAATGAAAAAAAAGTGGGTGAAAAAGCTAAATTGCAAGAAGGCTTTTTTTCACTCGCTGACGTTAACGATATATGATATAAAGTGATCAAGCAAGTTTTTATCATTTATGACAAAGTAACAATGAATCCACCAGCTTGTATCACAATGTGTTTGTAAACAATCGCTCCGATTCAAAATCTTCCTCCGTTGTCCCAAACGTTTGCAAGTTATCTTGTCAGTAGTCCTGGACGTGAATCAAGTCATTCCGTCAACTTGAGCGAGTCATCAGTGATCTTTGACCGTATTCTCCACAAAGTTTTGCTCCGAGTCAGCAATAAGAAGCACGTAAGACTTGTCTATCTCATCCGCAGCCCTTGTATTATCGTGAAATTCAAACGTATTTCCTTTATCCAACTTGCTCTTAACCACAAATGTAGCAGCCACAGCGAAAAGTAGGACGAGTGCTAGAATAAGTGCTCTCTTGTAGCTTAATGTTGATGCCATTAAAACAGCTCGAGACTGTAGCCTTGATTTACGCAGAGAACTTTCTCAAAGTGCTGGATTTTACATTTGAGTCCAGTCTCTCCAAACCAATGTCCGTCGCGTAATTTTCTTCAGCTTGAACACTGATGAAGAAGCTCTATGAAACTGGATAAACGGCCTACTGCTTTTGAATGATCTTACTCTGTCTATCCAAAGGGAAAAAAAAACAAACGTTCAAAACTTCCTTCATAATTTATGCATACGAAAAGCATTATCAAATTCCAGAGAATTGCGTTATCGCTGATTACTCCTTGTTCACTCAATTAAATGTGTTACAGTTTCAATAGCTTTCACCTCCGGGTTATCATGCGAATAATTTTTCTGTTTTCTTGAGGACCTTTGCAAGATGTTTAGAATGTTTGTTGCCGGAAAACAAACTACAATAGCCATGTTTCCTTAGTCTACGAATTTTCTGATTCAACACTTTCCGCTTGACCAGCTGTGAATAAAGACAGTAGATAATTAAAGCCAAAAAGCAAATTTTTGCAAACAATCACTAACAGGTGGTCACAGTATGACAACTGAGCCCTTTTTCTTACCCAAATGACTTGTTTATTTCACAACCAGATTGGAAAAACTGTAAATAAAACCCTAAAGTTGTTCCGGGAGCCAGTTTCATGAGCACCGCAGCTGGTCGTGTGAGTATTATATAAAGGTCCATCAGTTATGTGCCGAGACAAGTGAACTAATTTCGGACTTTAGCGACCCGTAAAAAAAATCAGTCTGGCCTTCTCATTGGTTAACTTACTAGTCCGTACTTTGCAATACAAGAAACGTTAAGTTAAACCTCCTGAGCTCTCCTAAAAGTGTGTAAAACCAAAACGTTTCTCCTAAATCAACCATTCTTAGGCCACGTCCACAAGAATTCGGATATTTCTGTAACCGCATGTTTTTCTGCACGAAACGGCCTTCTACACGATTAAAGAATCCGTTTACCGAAACCGCTTCTCTTTGAAACCGCTCTCCAGAGTGGTTAGGCCCCTTCACACGAATCTGGGTATCAAAATATGCTGCGGTTTTAGAAATGCCCGGATTCGTGTGAATGGGGCCTAACATTTTAGGACGAAACTTTAACGAATTTAACTGACAATTTTTGACTTAATTTATAAGTCGTTTCTATGGATACACACAGTTCGCTCGCCTTTCACGGGGGATACAAAATTTGTGGTCTTTTTTAAAAGCATCAAAAATATTTTACCTCACTTCATGAAGTATTTTAAATATTCTCTTGCCAGTTCATCAGTGTTTAGTTTCGCCCCATTTTCTCACATCATTTAAGTGAGGAAGTGCTTCATATATTTCGTACAAGTTTTAACCTACCCTGCGAGCAGAGGTTTGTCTCTTGCGCCGATGGCTTTTAGGGTTTACGAAGTCTTTCGCGTCGCTTGTCAGTCGCGTAGTTGGTTCGCTTTATACGCCCAAGGAAACATAGAAACTACGCGACTAATAAGCGACGCAAACACTTCCTAAACGCTAACGGCCATGCAAAAGAGAAAACTCTGCTCGCACGGTAGTTTTAACCCGGCAAATGAGGTCCAGCTTCGCTATAATTGATAGTGTTTTAATGAGTTTAAGTTACCAGAACCCACTCACACAAAGTCCGATTAAACAAAGAAACATTTTACGCGTTCTCCTCCTACTTACTACTGTGATTAACTACGAAAAGCAGGTCATTACGATCAGCGAATCGGCGCTATAGAACTAACGCACTCCATTTGTAAATCGAATGTCCCTTATTCGCTGCCATAATACGTACACCTCTGCGATTCGCAGACTTGCAGTTCTTATGGTGTTCGTATTAAGAGGGTCTGGCAGCAATACAGGTTAAAAATTCTAAAGGACATGAAGGATAAGCAAGATCGGTTAATTTTCAAGCGTCCTGTACGAGTTGAACACAGTTCATCCGTGAAACAAGTCAGTGAAAAGGTCAAAGCGGGACTTGAGCTCATAATCTAAACCGTAGAGCCACCCATCAGCTCACCACTAAAACATGAGCTATGGAGTCGAGAAAAGCCGGCTTGGCTTACCCACCTGACTGGGGAGTGAGAAAACTACGACTTTCGAAAAATAAGACCGAAATCTAAGACCAAAAACTTCAAGATCCCTCTTTTTTTTCTTTTTTTTTTTCATGTTTTATCGACCAGGGTTTAAGATAAAACCAAACCTTTACGCACGGTTTGTCACCCTTTTTATAAAATATGCCTTGAGGTGTTAAGCTCCTGAATTGAGATGATTCTTCCAACGATTTTATTTACAGTTTAATAAATAAACTTTTGGTGAAAACCGTGAAAATGATCACGTTAATAATGAGCAGCAGTTCTCTTTCGACTGTAATTAAAGAAGAAGAGAGATCCGGGTTGAAAAACAATGCGGGTGTTATTTTTGATGACCGGTTCACTTTCGACTTTAATTACGGAAGAAATCTTTCTTTAGATCCGAGATCCAGGTTTAAAAACAATACGGGTGTTACAGGGGCGGGCGCACCCCCACCCCCCCCCCCCCCCCCGCCCCCCCGCCGCTCTTCTCAACCAACCGTATATGTAAAAAAAAAAAAAAAAAAAAAGAATATATTTGTTAAGAATAGAAAAAAAGACAGGCAAACCCCCCCCACAAAAAAACCATACAACCCCCCATGTACGTCTTTTTTCTTTTTATAAAAATAGAAAACAACCCCGGCAACACAAGAATCTTAGATGACCTGCGGTTTTCTAATACAACTGGTATTCTGAAAAAAAAGAAAAACTATGTGGTTTATTGGTGTTGAAGTAGAGCAAGAGACGAGTGCACCCCCTCCTAAAAAAAATCCTGGATCCGCCCTTGTGTTACTTTTTGTCTTAGTAACAACAAAGCCAAGACCCCGGTCAATACAAGAATAAGGGAGCGGGGGATAGGAGTCTAAAGTTGGTTATTTGACAAAATGTGGGCCTTTTTACCGGCCGACTTTGCACTTATCATAGGAAAGATTTAATATAGTATTGTGTAAATGACTAGAACCAACCATTAGTATTAATCTTGGGTACAGAATTTTATTCAGGCAGCTTCTAATTTTATTTCTCTTTTACTTTTGTTTGGCGTCGGAGGGGAGGGAGCATATGAGGGTTGTTTCCCTTCTCTGTATAGGGATAATAGCACCTGTCACTGACAAAAAGGGTTATAAATTCGCCATATTGTCAGAGTATTTGGTACCATGCTTGATACTAAGGAAGCTTATGGTTGCCATCCGTCATCCGAGATCTGGCATCCTAGATTGGACATTCGAAATTTGACATCCGACAATTGATGTCCGACAGCCGACATCCGAGATTCGAAATCCGACATCCAACATCTGACATCCGACATCCAAAATCGGGGATTCGAAATCCGACATCCGATATTCAACATCCTAGACTGGACATAATCTTTCTTTCTGCATTCAATACTCGCTGCACGCGCTAGTGATCTATTGCTCCTAGAACCATCGGCTCCCTTCTCACAAGACCCTCCACTTAAGCTGCAAAAAAGGTCCAAAAGTGGATACGCATGCTACGATGAGTTCCTTGGAGTCTTCGTTTCGTATGCTACTTCCGCGAGTTTGGAGTTTGGGAGCGTATGGCACTTGTGTAACCTATGCAGGAAACAGCGAGAGAGAGAAGACCTTCCATATTTCCACTACTAAAAGCAGCACTCACGGATATCAGGCTATCGACAAAAGATGACCGGATCATGTTGTGCTTGTGTTGGTTAAGCTTGTGATTTTACGCGTCGATCGAGTCATTAATTAAAACGGAAGAAACGTGATGCGCCACTGAAGTTTCCACGGTTAGCAAAAGCACGTTGGATATCGTCATATTTGGGGAGGGTGGCCAGGTTTCCTAGCGCTGCCACAGACGGCCGGGACGCTAACATCCGGGAACTCACGCGTCTAATGTCATCAACCGTCACGTTTTCTGAAAAAGAAAAAATAAGGGCAAACAGAAAAGATGATGAGAGGAGACTGAATGAACGTAACACAAAAGGAGAACGGAGAGACTGAAATATTAACAACTAACCAATGCTGTCGAAAAGTTCTTTTGCTGACTTCCTCTTGTTGAGCCCAAGAACTTGCCTTAAAATTGAAAAGATAACAGGAACATGTTATTGAGCTTATAATATTGGGGAGCTTGAGCAACGACGACGACAAATGTGGCAACGAGAACGGTAAAAATGATTAGCAAAAAAACATCTCTGCACGCGTATCATGCTTTTTTGTACACTACTCTGCTGTCGTTGCACGACTACAACGGAGTGGTAAAACGTGAAATGAACTTTGAAACATGACGTTTTCGCCACCATCGCCGATTCTCATTTCCACAAATCCTCCTGTGCTGAAAGTAAACAATTTATCTATTTATCCTGACACTACTTTAGTTATTGACGCTAATGCAAGATTCTTCACTTCTTAGAGATACGTTTGCATGTCTGCACAATGCAGTTACTTCTGGGAGGTAGTGTACAAATTTACTTTTGTGTAACTTTTCATTTTTTCATAATTTGGACTGCTGAAACTTTAAGTGGTGCAAAACAACAACTACAAAGAAATTCAAAACTTCAAATTCGTCCTCTTATGAGAGTATTAACCCATCTAAGTTTCTAGAGAGACTGAAACAAGGCCAATCGTTCAGTAATCCAAGCCAAAAAAGATATCTCACCCAAATCGCCACAAAAGATGCGCGGTAATTTCAGTGGAAAGATGTTCGTTTTAATAAAAGACGTTTTGACCGGAATGCAGAACAGGAAAATATTTTGATAGTATGGAAAAGTCATCACTCTAGTCTGCACTAAAAAGACTCACCTTCCTATATCCTCAAATACAATAATTCTTGATTCTAAATTCATCATCAACATAGATTGGAGTTGCTTCTTAGCTCTTGCAACTTCGACCTAATAAAAAGAGGGATTGCACTTAACCCGACACATCATTTCTTGGTACTGAGTTCATTCGGAGTTTTGAACAATTGAACTGCAAGGAACTCGACTATGAACAAACAAACCTCATTTATATCATGGTTGACGAGAGCAAAGTACTCTTTGACAATCACCTGCGTCAGGTCTCTCAACTGGAAAAAGTAATGCAAAAGACGCAAAGTTTTAAAACAGTGTAACTTAAATGCGTATGACAATTTAAAACATTACTTCCACTCTCCATAATGTAAACATGTTTAACGAGTCTGAGTACTAGAGACCAATCAAGTTGAAACTTTGTTTTTATTCAGAACAGTTCAACTGAATCACTATCATGAAAAATGGCCCTTCATGGAGGGACAGTTCTATCCAGAACTTTGGCGGAGTTCGTTGATCCAGTTTCAGATTTAGCTAAACCGAGATTGTTTGGATTGTTGTAATAAAAAGATACCGCGAACTGTGCTTGTGCCTTCTGCAAAAGGTTTTTGTTTGTTAACACAAGGGGCACGTGTATGAGTATATATATACATATGTTGTAGTTAATTTTTTTATCTCAAGTAATTTTTGTTTTTCTCTTTTTTTTTCTGGAGGGGGGGGGGGGCCAATATAATAAATAGTGCTAATGAAATTGCTGCACCCCCCACAGGCTCCCCAAGGCTGAGTTGAACCCGGAGGTGTGGCGAAAAGCGCAATGAGCGTATGATGGGAAGGAGGAAAAAGCGCGGCGAGGGGGTGAGGGAAAGAAANAGATACCGCGAACTGTGCTTGTGCCTTCTGCAAAAGGTTTTTGTTTGTTAACACAAGGGGCACGTGTATGAGTATATATATACATATGTTGTAGTTAATTTTTTTATCTCAAGTAATTTTTGTTTTTCTCTTTTTTTTTCTGGAGGGGGGGGGGGGGCAGTATGATAACTAGTGCTAATGAAATTGCTGCATCCTCCACAGGCTTCCCAAGGCTCAGTTGGACCGCGAGAGCTGGGGACAAGCGCAATAGGGGGATGATGAGAATGAGCGTAAAGCGCGAGCAGGGAGTGATGGGAACGAAAAGAAGAGGCTTTTTCTCCCCTTCCCATTCGTCCCTTCTTTCCTTAATAATTAACTCAAATATCCCCCAAAAAGTGATCGCGAGCGACTGGGGACGAGGCAGATGAAGTTGAAACAAAAGAAAAATAAAAATTACCTGAGATAACAAAATTAACTACAACATATACATAGACTTAGACACCAATTTGCGCCATCCTTTTCAGGGCACGAATTAGTCACACTGCAATCTAAGATTGGTGTGTTTCCTGCTTGCTACTAAATGAATCCGGAGATGGAATTTTGGATTGCAGTATCCGGATTATAATCTGACTCGTAGACTGGTTAGAAACAATTCCTCTATTCAGGAACTTATCCAGGGTAACTATCTACGGCACAAGTAAACTCTTTATCACATTGAAAGCGAGGTGACTGAGTGCCTGTTAACACGTAAAACCTTAGATCCGTAGGTCCTAATTTAAGCCTAATCGTAGCGTTGTTTACTAAGACAAGAACTTTGCTCCAGTGGTGGTCCTCTTCACTCAGATGTATAAATGGTACCGGCGACATACTACTAAGGGTACCCCTACGATGGACAATGCAGGATATCCGCTCCGTACGGAGGAGTAGCGATACTGATAATAGTCCAGTTTCGAATTAAAAATTACCGCTGAATATAAACATTAACGACACATTCATACAGGGTTAGCCTCAACGTAAAGTAAAATATTCAGAAATTCTGGCAAGTAAGTGTTTGAAATTTGAATATACACAATAGACAGAGTAATAAACAGGTCTTTTTCTCGTTGGAATTTGTGAATATATTACTTCAGATTGAGGCCAAGGCTGTAAAAAATGCGTCTTCACTTCTTTAATTCAGCGTTCATAGCGAACTCGAAAATGGACTATTGGTAATTGTGAAGAACAACCGCCCACAACCAACTATCGACTGATAATTAAATAACACCTTACTGACTTTTTCACCCATGGTTTACCAACGGTCGGCTGACGGTTGGCTAAACATTAACCAAAACCAGTAACCCAAGTGAAAAGAAGTGAAATTTGCATGTATTACTTTAAAGACACTATTCGGCAACATGTCCTGCTTGACTCGTGTGCGCTTTTCACTTTTCTTTTTTAATACTGCATACATGCAGTTGGAAGCTAAAAACACTCACCTGAGACGGATGACAGCTGCCATGGATACAAAACAAACCAGTGTCAGCGTAACTATGGTGATAGGCAGTTGCAGAATAAATCCAGTGGTATCTGTTTAAAACATTCAAGTAAAGACGAGAGTACATGCCCTTGCCTGGTCCACCGGCTGAAAATGATCCTCCGCCACCCAACAGAGTATTAAGAACAGTAAAAGCAAAGAAATCTGGATCGTCATAGTGACAAGTTTCTACACCTATAGACAGATGGGCCAATTCTGGAAGAGGTGTGGGACCAGGGTTTATCCGGGGCTCAGTTCTGTGATCCTACAGGGAAAAAGAAACAAAATAACACGGAAATTGTTGCCCCTCACACAAATCATGGCATGACTAAAGATAATGTTTACAGGATGAACAGGGGAAAAACCAGAATTTCTAAAAAACAACCCGAGGGAGTCTGAAGACGTATGAAGTTATCGACACACGCACCAAGAACATGATAGAGCAACTATGCACTTGTTACACTTTTGGGTGAATTTCTTCGCAGTCACTGCACAACTACGACGTGGAATTTCCTAATGTAACATTTTTTAGAGGACGTTGACGCACGATGGCAATTTTTACTTTCTCTTTCTGAACTTGAATGCAGCTAGCAACAAATTAGACTCCACGAAAACTCGTCCACGTTAGAAAAATAAAGTGAGTTAGAATAAGATTAAAGGGGACGCGAATTCACTTTACATGTGACACTTTCGCTGTGAAGTCAGGAAGCTTACGAAACTACGACAGCGATGGCAGCAAAAGACATAGGAAAAACAAGAGATGTGGTGAGCAAAACAACAATCAGACCATACGGGCACTGAACTCTGCACGTGCATTACGCTTTTCTGTAAATTTCTTTGCTGTCCCTGCACAACTACGGACCAATTAGGGACCTTAAGATCCGAGGACGGCGACGGCTGAGAAAGCGTCGCTGAAAAAGTGTATTCGCGTTCTTTCAATCTTCACGCGATTACTCCAAGTCACTAACTTTGTCAAATGTAGGCGAAACCTCCTAGAGTCGAATTCCTAAGAACCATATCCAATTCAGAAGGAGAGAGGAAATTTCGTCGTCGCTTGTGTACTTCCTCTGTACATCGTGAAATTAGGCATTTTCACGTCGTAGTCGTGCAGTGACGGCAAAGAAATGTACAAAAAAGCGTGATGCACGTGCAAAGTTGTTGTTTTGCTAATTAAACCTATTGCTTTTGTGGCGTTCCCGTTGCCGTCGCCGTCGTCGAATCTTAAGCTCCCTATGGAGAACGTGAGCGGTAAGGCGTATGTATAACTAAGCTCGAGCTTGGACGAGTTAGGCCGCAGTGCGAGCCAGTAAGCCATGCGAAAATATTACACAAATCGCAAAAGGCAGCAATACGGGAAAAATATCTGAAAGCTAACCGTTGTAAATGAGTGTTTAACCCTAAACAGCGCATAACCCTAATCCGTAAAATAAGTGTTTAACCCTATAGTCAGTAAAATCAGGAGCGCTCAACCTTAATCAGTGAAAGTCGACGAAGACTAAGTTTTTCTGCGAACGTTCCAGCAGCAAAACCTCACATAACCATAGGGAACTACAGCAGTAGCAGGAATCATTTTTCTTTATTTTGCAATTTCATAAAACTTTATTTTTTCCCATGGCTCGGCGCCTGGCTCGCTGATTGTCCGGCCCCGCTCGGACGCGTTCCTCTCTCTTAGATCTAACTTAGTCTCCCATTTTTTTGCCGAAAAAATTTTGAAAACAACAGAAAAGTTTGAAAGGACACGAAGTCAGTCTAAAGGCGTCGTTTTCATAGGCGTCGCCGTTGTCAAAAATCTTAAGGAGGCTGATAGTCGGCGATAAGTACCTTGACAATACCTCCAGTGTATTGAGCTATAGATCGGTCAGGACTTTCTAGTTCTTGTCCTTCTTTGTACCAAACAGGTTTCCTCTCAACAAAAAAAGTTTTTGTTAAGTCTATAAGATGCTGATGATCCACGTTAACTCCAGCTATAACCATTCTGGACGGCTGATAATATCTGCTTAAGTAGTGTCGCAGTATAGAAGAACTAAACTTTCCGATGTTCTCTGGAGGACATAATTTGGGTAATCCTAAAGTGTTTTCGCGAAAAGCAGCCTACAAATAAAGAAAAAAAAAACAACTGTAAAAGTAAGGAAAGAGTGACAGCAAGATAAAGACGTTTTGTACCTCTGGGTATAATAAATTTGACTCTCGTCTCTAGAATGTTTATTCCTCCTGAAGATGTCCTAACTACAGAGGTGAAATCTCCAGGACCTTAACTTTAAAAGTCTCTAAACAGGGGATTTAGTACACTGTAGGCCTTCTTAGCTCAGTTGGTAAAGCACTGTAGCGCTAATACAGAGGTCATGGGTTCGAATTTCGTTTAACCCCTGAAGGTTTTTTTCGGGGCTTAATTTGTAATTCAGTGCTAAAATAGCAACGTGGACTCTGCGATTTTGAACGGGATCAGATGCAAAATACTTTACTTTAGAAAACTGCGTAGTACATGAAATTTTATAAAAGATACCAAACTAAAAAATAAATGTTGAAAAATTTCAACTCACAGCATGGATTAAGTCTGTTAGGACGGGTTCTGGATCAAGTCTCATTTCTAAGTTTTCAAGTTCAAACTGGACAACCATTTTTTGTTCTTCAATCTGTGATTAAAAGTAATTAAAACATTTATTAAACACACAAGAAAAACGGAATACTGGGTAACAAAATTAACTATATATATAAAAACCCACAAAGAAGGCTGTTCCTTTTCTGTATAAATTTAACATTATTAATTTTACGTTTAAGTAAATAAATTATTATTTATCAACCAATCCATAATCTTAAAACTCCTTTTTCCAGGACAATTGCTGGCTTGGTATTTAACAAAATTTCCTCTTGTCTAGAAGCCATAATTCGCATCAATACAGGTTGCAAAGAAAATCAGTTTTAGAGTTTGAACAATGTCACTAAAAAACGTCTTCAAATAATGCATCAGTCAATTCCAGGTGCATCCTTGCCAACCCCAGGGCCACCCCCGTTCTCCCGTTGCTCGTACGTGCATCCCTATCCAAACATAACTAAACATGGTGGATTTTACTGGAAGCACAAACAGATTCAAAGTTCGGCCAATCTGAAAAGGGAAAGACTTGTTAAAGTTTTTAAAGGTATGTTTTCTCAATTTTATGCCTGCTTTTCTTTGCTTATCAAGCCAGAAGTCGGGAACTATCGACATGAATCGACACATTTTTTTGGTTATGGAATGAAATTACTGTTGATCTAGGATTTAAATAAATTTAGCAGTGATGATATTTCTAATTCTACTACGATCTACCGTATCTCTTATTCAAGGACCTTCCTTTACTTTCTAATGTTATTAAACTATTCAGGTCAGATAACTTTTAATACAGTGCACTAGGCAACGTAGTATTCAAATGAAGATAAACAACAATAATAAGATAAGAATCATGAAGTGGCGTTATCATGTGTCAAGCCTCTGTTAGAATGGTGCTATGTTAACCAAAACAAAAAAATCGCACATTAAAATGCACTACTTGACAGTGCAATCACTGAAAAGTGCTGCAGTGTTGATTGAGGATGGGGCATTTGCCCTCTTTTTTTTGGCCCTGCCGTTGAGAATTTGGCAGCTCAAGTGCCCTCGCCCCCAGGAATTTGCCATGTAAGGCAAAAAAATGCTAATTATCCTGAAGGGGGCATGGGTGCACTTGGAATTGATTGATTCATAAGCTCCCTAATACAGTGGAACCTTGAGATAACGAACCTCTATATCATAAAGTCCTTGGTATTACAGATAATTTTCTTTACCCCAGTAACAGTAAATTATATGGAAAAGTCCCTTGATATAATGGAACCTTGTTATAATACGTTTTGCCAGTTCCTTGGCCCTTCATTATATTGAGGTCCCACTGTAGCATAATTGGTGATTGGTAGCAAAAAAAAAAATAACCAAGAAATTTGAGCCAATCAGAACAAACGGTTTTTGGCATAAATAATGGTATTCTTATTAGTAGCTTTTTCTACCTCTTCATCCATTAGCTTGGGCTGTAGGACACCCTCTGAGAGAACCTCCATGACCATAGGAAGGCCACTTGTAAAGCAAGATGCCCCATAAATAATTGCATCTCTGTTAAAAACCATTCAAACATCAGGTGAACTTTTGTGCTAAAACATCTTCACATTTGAAAAGATCACTATCACTATGGTTACACATAATTAACTAAATATTTTTAATGTTTAGTGTTATCCAAACTAATATTTTATGATCACCTGTTTTATACAGAGATCATATTTTTTGGCTTCTTAATCCTCCTGGAAAGGAAAGGAAGGATTATGAATCTGAGATAAACTAAACTGACATGAAATTCCTGCCACACCTCCTGAATGCGAGCTGCAGTGATGCTATTATAGCCCCTCTATTTTTCTCACTTCCTCCCAAACCTCCCCCTGCCCCCTAAGTAGTTTTGACACTCATGGAAGATGACAGCCTGTAACGTGAAGCACTTGATCTTGATGATCTTACAGGAAAATAGGAGACTGTGAACAGTCTAACGTTAAACATGCAGATTTTGGTAGCGCATTACACACACAGCACTGTAGAGCTAGTCTAGAGGAGAGCTAAAATTTCTCTCACAAAGAGCTGCTATGAGCTCTTTCAAAGACAGAGGGTGGTCCATATAAAACACCACCAAGGTATCAAAAACTATCCATCCTGCTTAAGGGCGATGTTATCTGTCATGACCAACAAACTGTCAAACAAACTGAAAAGACTGGCATTATTTTAGTTCCAGCTTTACTAACATAAGGCATCAAAAAGTCAAAAGAAATGTTCAGGAAATAAATGTCAAATCAATTACCTGAATGATGTGCAGTCAGCCATCCCTCCATACTTTTCCAACTCTTGCATAATATCATCATTACTTTGAAATTTAACTGTGCTCTGCAATATTCATTTTTTGTTATAGTTAGCTAAGTAGGAGTGTCCCCATCGAAGGGTTTATATTTGATATGAAAGCCCAATATCCCGACAAAATATAATGTTAATATCAACTAAATCAACAAAAGACTACAGTGTAGCTAGGAATATAACCAACGTTAATGAATCATTGTGTAGGATAATTCTTGTAAGAAAAAGTTGTTAAAAAATACAATCTAACAAAATGATCCATACCTGAAATGAGAGTTTCTCAAGTAAATGAGATAATCCAGAGGGATAGTCTACTTCATATCTTGAACCACCATCAATGACAACTGTAATGCAATTACAAGAGCATATTAGCCATAAACTCTCATCACTGACCTCTTTTCCTCGTTTGAAGCATGATATTCACAAAGATCAGAGCACTTCTTAGATGAGTAAGGCTGCACCTCAGAGAGTTTACTCTGCTTGTATTTGGCTGACAAGTCTGTCTGCACTGCAAAGAAGATAAATAATGCTCCCCCAAAAATCCTTCCAAGCTCCCCCCAAAAAAGTCATTCCAAAAATTTGTTCCCACAAACCACAAAAAATCGCCAATCCGCAAAATAAAACTCCCGCAAAATTTTCATGCTACACAGTAGCAACTTTAATTAGAATTTGCAGCGCCCCACTGAAAACCGCTAAGGTAAGTGGGCTCTCTGGATAAATATTATAATAACAATAACAATATTATAATTATAAAAACTTAGCAACATGGATATACACAAGATATTTGCCTTCCAAGTAATGCACCAGATCAGTCAGTTCCAACTGTCCAACCAGGTCAGTTTTGTCAGCATCAAATTTCTCTTCACACAGAACTAGCTTCTTCAAAGCTTCTGGGAAGGGTATTTCCTAGGGTAATGGGGATGTGCCACTGGATGGGGTCGCATTTTCATAACTGGGTAGCATATTTTCCGGATTTTGGGGAGAAGAAAATTTTTGGAAATATTTTTGGAAAAATCTAGGAATATGAAAAAAAAATTGTGTCAATTCATTTTTTAGTACGACAGACTTACTAGGCTTTATAAGGTATATGCATAAACAGAAAGTGGCAAAGTAAGTTACATTTGCCCAAAAGAGACTTAGATGGATTCAATTATTGGCCAAACGATTGACTATAAATTATGGGATAGGGGTTCTGAGAGGCCAGCAGCACATACTGAGTGAAAATTGACCTGAGTAGTCCCCCCATCCCCGCCCCATGGAAACTAGCAACTTTTTCATCAATTAAACGGGTTATGTCTGGGGTGGTGAGGTCGGTCAGACAGTCTGCAGAGTATGGCAAAATTTGACGAGATCTTGTGCGTGCAGAGCCAATTTTAGCTGTGTGCACCGCGGAGAGACTCAGTATTAGAAGGATGGGAGTTTTAGGCCCATTTCCAGCTATTTTAGAGGACCTAAATTTCCAATTTTCCCAGGGGAGCATGCCCCCCTGACCTCCCTAGTATGTTCATGCTTTACCATTCAGTTCACTCAAAAGAAGGGCGACAAACAAGAGTACAGACAATTTGCCAGTCCATTCATTCGTAAATCACCTCACCATACTGATGAGAAAGCAAAAGTGAAAGGAAGGGATATGGAAGTGATGTGGGAGAACTGAAAGGTTAGGGTAGATTTGGCAAAAAATATCATGCAACGCTCCTGTAAGTTAGGTGCAAATCTCAGGACCAACGCTGCCGCGTGCAATGCTTCCAGTAACAGTAAATTATATGGAAAAGTCCCTTGATATAATGGAACCTTGTTATAATACGTTTTGCCAGTTCCTTGGCCCTTCATTATATTGAGGTCCCACTGTAGCATAATTGGTGATTGGTAGCGAAAAAAAAAATAACCAAGAAATTTGAGCCAATCAGAACAAACGGTTTTTTGCATAAATAATGGTATTCTTATTAGTAGCTTTTTCTACCTCTTCATCCATTAGCTTGGGCTGCAGGACACCCTCTGAGAGAACCTCCATGACCATGGGAAGACCACTTGTAAAGCAAGATGCCCCATAAATAATTGCATCTCTGTTAAAAACCATTCAAACATCTGGTGAACTTTTGTGCTAAAACATCTTCACATTTGAAAAGATCACTATCACTATGGTTACACATAATTAACTAAATATTTTTAATGTTTAGTGTTATCCCAACTAATATTTTATGATCACCTGTTTTATACAGAGATCATATTTTTTGGCTTCTTAATCCTCCTGGAAAGGCAAGGAAGGATTATGAATCTGAGATAAACTAAACTGACATGAAATTCCTGCCATGCCTCCTGAATGCGAGCTGCAGTGATGTTATTATAGCCCCTCTATTTTTCTCACTTCCTCCCAAACCTCCCCCTGCCCCCTAAGTAGTTTTGACACTCATGGAAGATGACAGCCTGTAACATGAAGCGCTCGATCTTGATGATCTTACAGGAAAATAGGAGACTGTGAACAGTCTAACGTTAAACATGCAGATTTTGGTAGCGCATTACACACACAGCACTGTAGAGCTAGTCTAGAGGAGAGCTAAAATTTCTCTCACAAAGAGCTGCTATGAGCTCTTTCAAAGACAGAGGGTGGTCCATATAAAACACCACCAAGGTATCAAAAACTATCCATCCTGCTTAAGGGCGATGTTATCTGTCATGACCAACAAACTGTCAAACAAACTGAAAAGACTGGCATTATTTTAGTTCCAGCTTTACTAACATAAGGCATCAAAAAGTCAAAAGAAATGTTCAGGAAATAAATGTCAAATCAATTACCTGAATGATGTGCAGTCAGCCATCCCTCCATACTTTTCCAACTCTTGCATAATATCATCATTACTTTGAAATTTAACTGTGCTCTGCAATATTCATTTTTTGTTATAGTTAGCTAAGTAGGAGTGTCCCCATCGAAGGGTTTATATTTGATATGAAAGCCCAATATCCCGACAAAATATAATGTTAATATCAACTAAATCAACAAAAGACTACAGTGTAGCTAGGAATATAACCAACGTTAATGAATCATTGTGTAGGATAATTCTTGTAAGAAAAAGTTGTTAAAAAATACAATCTAACAAAATGATCCATACCTGAAATGAGAGTTTCTCAAGTAAATGAGATAATCCAGAGGGATAGTCTACTTCATATCTTGAACCACCATCAATGACAACTGTAATGCAATTACAAGAGCATATTAGCCATAAACTCTCATCACTGTCCTCTTTTCCTCGTTTGAAGCATGATATTCACAAAGATCAGAGCACTTCTTAGATGAGTAAGGCTGCACCTCAGAGAGTTTACTCTGCTTGTATTTGGCTGACAAGTCTGTCTGCACTGCAAAGAAGATAAATAATGCTCCCCCAAAAATCCTTCCAAGCTCCCCCCAAAAAAGTCATTCCAAAAATTTGTTCCCACAAACCACAAAAAATCGCCAATCCGCAAAATAAAACTCCCGCAAAATTTTCATGCTACACAGTAGCAACTTTAATTAGAATTTGCAGCGCCCCACTGAAAACCGCTAAGGTAAGTGGGCTCTCTGGATAAATATTATAATAACAATAACAATATTATAATTATAAAAACTTAGCAACATGGATATACACAAGATATTTGCCTTCCAAGTAATGCACCAGATCAGTCAGTTCCAACTGTCCAACCAGGTCAGTTTTGTCAGCATCAAATTTCTCTTCACACAGAACTAGCTTCTTCAAAGCTTCTGGGAAGGGTATTTCCTAGGGTAATGGGGATGTGCCACTGGATGGGGTCGCATTTTCATAACTGGGTAGTATATTTTCCGGATTTTGGGGAGAAGAAAATTTTTGGAAATATTTTTGGAAAAATCTAGGAATATGAAAAAAAAAATTGTGTCAATTCATTTTTTAGTACGACAGACTTACTAGGCTTTATAAGGTATATGCATAAACAGAAAGTGGCAAAGTAAGTTACATTTGCCCAAAAGAGACTTAGATGGATTCAATTATTGGCCAAACGATTGACTATAAATTATGGGATAGGGGTTCTGAGAGGCCAGCAGCACATACTGAGTGAAAATTGACCTGAGTATTCCCCCCATCCCCGCCCCATGGAAACTAGCGACTTTTTCATCAATTAAACGGGTTATGTCTGGGGTGGTGAGGTCGGTCAGACAGTCTGCAGAGTATGGCAAAATTTGACGAGATCTTGTGCGTGCAGAGCCAATTTTAGCTGTGTGCACCGCGGAGAGACTCAGTATTAGAAGGATGGGAGTTTTAGGCCCATTTCCAGCTATTTTAGAGGACCTAAATTTCCAATTTTCCCAGGGGAGCATGCCCCCCTGACCTCCCTAGTATGTTCATGCTTTACCATTCAGTTCACTCAAAAGAAGGGCGACAAACAAGAGTACAGACAATTTGCCAGTCCATTCATTCGTAAATCACCTCACCATACTGATGAGAAAGCAAAAGTGAAAGGAAGGGATATGGAAGTGATGTGGGAGAACTGAAAGGTTAGGGTAGATTTGGCAAAAAATATCATGCAACGCTCCTGTAAGTTAGGTGCAAATCTCAGGACCAACGCTGCCGCGTGCAATGCTACGATTTTGGTAAGCGCAATAAGCTCTTTTAAAAAAGGCTCGTGTGTGCACTTACTAAACTCTGCATTCTGGCGCACTTGGTACTGGCGGAGAAAATTATACCGCATAGCCCCATGAATAGTTTTGAATATACTTTCTGAACGACACTCTATTTATGCTCCCTTTTTGAAAAACAAAGAGCACAACTTTGTAAAATGACGTTTTTTTGTCCATCTTATCGGTGATGTAATCTGGACCCGGTATTACAAAAAACTTTCCCCTCTCCCGATCCCACGTGTGACACCAAAATATGACAGCAGACTGTAAACCTTTTAACTTAAATGCGATCTCAAAGATTGCTTCATTTCTATAAATTTAACTTACCACCAACTGTGGAAAACTGGCCAAAAGAATCTTCTGAAGCTACTTTTATTCCATTTTCAAGCGTGGTGACATGAGTTACGTGATCGTGTCTACTCTGCCATTCTGTCCCGCTTACCATTTCAGGCGGAGGACCTGGCATGTTCGGTAGAGGATGGTTTAGGGGTGGAATCGTTCCATTACTAAGAGGCCTTTTTTGCACTGCATGCCCGGAGGTTCTTTGAAAAGCTCGAATTGATCTGCCGCCTCGAAATATCGGTATGACACTTCGACCGGCCATTTTTACTTGCTCTTATCGCGGGCACTAATTGTTCCAGCGGTGGACTAAAAGTGAGTAAAATTGTCTTTATTTACGACCAAAGAAAATATACCCAGTTCCCCCTGGGGTTTATTTTTTTCGCGTAAGTTAAATTTTTCGAAGGAATTGAATCCTTGAGTTTATATCATTGTTTACATAATAACGTCAAGTGAGGGTGAAAGCCTCTCTAAAATAAAATACCTTGCGGAGCCTTTGTACAGCCGACAGTCCCCTCAAACCAAAAATACAGTCTAATCAAATCATATGATATCCCGGTTGCATGTATTGAAAAGCGCTGCTTTCAGGCAGTAGAGCACAGACGTTGTTGCTAATAAGTGAGACCTTACAATCGCAGGCTGTCAAACCCCACGTCTTCAAATATTGAGAATTGATAGGTACGTCATAATGCACGGCACGTGACGTCATTTGTGAAAAAAAAAAAAAACGCGCGAAAAAGATGTTGTTGGAATTGTAACATTTGACCTAACTGGTTACTTCCCACCAATCACATTATTGCTTATATTACAATGGCATACCGGAGTTTGTGAGGAAGCTTTCGATGTTAACAGTAAGATAGCTCAAACAACGCAAAATATTTAAAATTTCATTGTCAGAAAGTCGAATCTACAAGAAATGGCAAACTTCGTTGATTATCTGGGAGATTTCAGACTCTAATCTGGAGACCGGGAGAAACGGTTCAAAATCTGGAGTCTCCCGGATTATCCGGGAGAGTTGACAGCCCTACAATCATTTCATTACAAAGAACAACAACAAGCTTTATTTGGGTTTACCACAGGACACCCACACAATCTGTTAGTGTAACCGGTGTAATTTTATGGTAAATGTACTGTATTACCGTTTGCTTCGTCTGTAGTGGTATATCGCTAAATATGTGCATGTACCAAAGCTAAATAAACGTTGTGTTACCTTACCCTCGGTAAATTGTCGTCCTTTGGCCTCAGAAGTTGTATTTTGAGCGGTTTTGAAGGATTTTGAGTTCGCTATTTTCTGTTCCTCTTATTAAAAATAGACAGTAAACTGCGAAGCCCAAATCCTTCAGAATTCCTCAAAATGCAACTTCCAAGGCAAAAGGACAATTTACCGAAGGTAAGGTAACACAACGTTTCTTTAGCATTGATTCATGCACATATTTAGCGATATGCCGCTACAAATGAAGCAAACGATAAGTACAGTACATTTACCATAAAATTACACCGGTTAAGAAACACGAACAGATTGTGTGGGTGTCCTATTGGCTTTACTGGATTATCCGAATCAAGGATCAAGTATCGGGAAACAAGGATCGAAGTTCGAGGATCAGGAGTCCATTTGGGTGGGTGTGTGTGTATTTTTAATTCATTTCTTTCAAAAACTAACAGAATCACAAAGAGAACAAATTCAGGATTGGGGAATTCTAACGAGAATTCTAACGCAATGATTTAAGAATAAAACCAGTAATACACTGCCACACAGTTAGCAGAATTTATACTGAATTCTAACGGGAAGTGCGGCAAGTGCCAGGCCAATTGACTGAGCAGCTGGCAGCTATAAAGGGACCATTCAGTGGACAAACCACTTTAAAAAAATAGCCTGTTCGCGACTAACATAGAAAATCATGTCCTCGTCCCTCTGTTCGAGGCCTGTCAACATGACAGTAGTTCGAAGTAGGGTGCACGAAAAAAAACCGTGATGGCCTCGCGCCTCCTAGTCTGAGAAAACAGCCGACATTTGGCGACGCTACCACTGGTTTCCCGCCAAATAACGTCTGAGAAACGGGCGCAGAAATTCCATACTGATGACGCGTCATTACCCAGATCTGGGAAGTGCTTCTGATTGGTTGAATCAAATTTCCCTAACGGTACGACCAATTAGAAGCACTACCCAGATCTGGGTAGTGACACGTCATCAGTATGGAACTTCTGCGCTCGTTTCTCAGGCGTCACTTGGTGGGGAAACCAGTAGCATCGTCGCCAAATGTCGGCTGTTTTCTCAGGCTACGTGCCTCTGTCCTTAGCCTTTCAGCACCGAAACTTTCCTCAAAAACTTCTTTGTTTTAGGTGAAATCACACAAAAATCCAAATACTCACTGTACTCAAACTAGACGAGTCCTCTTTTTTTGCCGCCTCTGCAGAGCGCCAACCTTAGTCCCCGAGGAAAAACAAATAACTCGTTTTTTTCTGCAGCGTCAGGCTTTTAGATCTCGCGAAATATTTATTGGACAGCAGAGCTTCTAAGGCAAGGGTCCAAGGGTCCGTAACCGGTACTTTGACCCAAACACCAAATCGAGTTCCTTTTTCTGCTTTTTGCTAGATGCTCGTTTCCAGGCTTCTCGGGCGTCGAGTTTAGGTTGCGTTCTCCCAACCTTTTAACGCAAAAAAGGAAAAAAAAAACTATTTGCCTTTAAATCTAACTTTTGTCACTTTCTAATCGCTGATGAACAAAACGAAGAAAGACAATGAAAGATTACGTACGGTTCACTGCGTTTAAGCGCAGCCCCCGAAAAGCGTGGCCCTGGAATAAATAAGGCCTATCTCTGATAAGACGAAAATTTCATGAACGCTGCGGCGTTTTATAGTTTAATTCAGGAAATACCGAATGTAACACTAAGACGAAAATTCCTTGCCTCACCAAATCTAACGTATTACGATAGACTACCCAATTTACAGGTAAACAAAACACGAAAATACTGAAGAACAAACAAAGATCAGTTCCCGGCACAAGCTCTTAGGATGAAAGGAGTTTTTTTGTGACTTATGTGGGAGCAAGGGTGGCGCGCAGTGATGAAAGTACAAGCCTCCCACGAATGGCCCGGGTTCAAACCTCGGCGTCGACAGCATATGTGGGTTGAGTTTGTTGTTGGTTCTCTCCTTTAATTTGCTCCGAGAGGTTTTTTTCCCGGTACTCTGGTTTTCCTCTCTTCAACAACCAATATTTCCAAATTCCAACTCGACTAGCAATGATAGGCGATCAGAACGACTATGTGGATGTGCTGCCTAAAAATCGTGTAATTTTTATTTATTTAAATCGTTTATTATACGGAAGCTTAATATAGCGTACCGCAAAGCGTCCATATAGGCAGGCAGCCTTCATACTTCTTATATAACGTAGGCTGAGGGAGGAGGAGACTTAATCTCCAGAGTCACCCAATTATTTCAAAATACTTACCGCACTCAAAGATCATGGTTTGATTAAGCGCCTTTATTTACGCATTGGTAATTCTCTAAACCTTCGAGTCACTGCACCTGCACTTAGACTTAGGTTATAGAGCACTATACTAACGTTATGCTATATTAACCGCTGATTAACATAACAAGAATAGTCCATCTCTGAATGACCTAAATCTCTTTTTTAAAGTGTAGTTGCAAACCAAAACTCGCTTCAAAAAAGAAGCTTAAGGCAACTCGAACTGGTGATCTGTTGTGTTTATCAGCGACGAATCCAGAAAATTTATAAAGGGTCACTTGTCAGTTATAGAGATGCTACCGGCTTACTTGCTGAGAATTCCACTTTAAAAATAATTAAAAAATGCACAGAAAAATGAGGAGGCTCCCCCTCGGGCCACCCCTAAATCAGCTCATGTATAAGCAACTTGCAGTTAGCCTTTGACTCAACTTTTTTGGCTTAGAAAACAAATAAAGCAATAGCTGCAAGGAGAGGAAAAACCAACGGGAAGACGTTTAACAAGAGGATCGGGGCACTGCCATTTGGTGGACCCGTGGTACTCTCGCCACCATCTCCACCGCCATTACCTCCACCGCCATTACCTCCATCACCATTACCACCACCGTCTCCGCCAATGGTGGGCTCGCCCGCTACTCCATCCATGTTGGCTGTAGGGTCAATCAAAACCGTGTTGTTAAACCTAGGAATGCGGAAGATAAAGAGCTTCTTGCTACCTTGGGTCTCATATTTAGGGAAAGGATCAGGCATATCTACTGGGTCGTCATCTAAGAGAATCTGAAAGAAGTGAAAAGAAATATCATGAGCTCAAAGGGCATGTACAACGACGAGAATCATGCGTTTTGTTTATTTTTCATTGGTGAGAGCAGGCTAACTTTACCTCCTTGTTAATCAGCACCTCTGACCCTCCACCCATGTCATAAGTCTCAGGACAGTCCATATCCTTGTAACAGACAGGCTTCTTTTTAGACTTGTCGCGGTCTTCTTTGGACAATTTTGTGGGTGTTCCCTGCTTTTGACCGCAAGTGTAATGTCAATAAAAGCACCTTCTTCATTTGTTTGGCCTTTTCGGCAGTTTGAAAGTCCTGGATCACAGAATTCCCAATCTTTAATCTAAAGAAAAGAGAAGTATTTTTATTTGTTACCCTCGAGAGTATATACATATACCATCGAGGGTATTACCCAAATTCACTTGTATATTTTATAGACAAGCGTTTGTATAAAGGTTACAGTGGAACCTGGACGTAGCGAAGAGCCAAGGGACTGACAAACTGTGTTCGCTATACCGAGGTTTCGTTATATTGAGGTTCTTTTTTCATAAAGGTTTTTCATAAAGGTTTTTAATCAATAAACCAAACAGCCAAGTGCTAAGATTGCAGGAAAGAGAATGAATGGCCTGTATGGCAGGCAATTTAAAGGGGAAGGGGCGGGATTGGAGGAAATGTGCTTGTAAGAACAGTCGGCTCTTTTCTATTCAGAGTGCCAGTCATACCATGCAGCTCTGATCAGTAGAGGGGAGAAGCTGGGAGAATTGTAACTGAATTACTTGAACTACCGTAAGACACTACTGTCAGTACAGTACAGTGGAGCTGCAATCAACATCTGAGAGTGTGCAGTTCTCAAATGGATAAATATTCTCTAGATACTGTATATTGACACCATATTCATGCATCTAGCTAATATATATTTGGAAAGGAGCCAGGTACATTTAAACACTAATTCAAACATTTATTGAATTAATAAAATAGTAACAACACTGACTAGAGCAAACCTTAATGTTAAACTTCAAGGTTCCCTTGAATACTGCAAATGATTCATTGCCAAAAGTGACATTGCCATCTTCAAGGAAAAGGAACACCATGACATCAAGGGTGGCCTGTGGCCCATCCAAGTAGGCTGTCAGATTGACATTTATGACCTTGATGCCTTGATAATATGAAACGTTGTCGACCTTTGTAAAGTTAAATTCCTGGCTTGCTAGGCTGTTCAGGGAATGCTTCTTGGAACCGGTTTTACCAACTTCATTGCCTTGTGCATCACGCTCATATATCGAGTCCACCTCAAATGTCAGTTGATTGTCATTGGAGTCACTGAAGTTACCTTCAGTGTCATTGCCAATGTAGACCAACCTTATTGACCAAGAATTTTACACTGTACATTGCCTCCAGTGATGGTTTCATCTCCGCAAACACAGCTCGCAACCAAGTGGAACAAGGCTGTCAGAAAAAAGGAAGTCAACTAGAGAACTCGAGATTCTCCTTTGTGCCGATCAAGGGCATAAATCTCTGAGAACACTTAGAAGGCTGTCAAACTACTGCACTGCTACTTACGTCTGCAGGAGCACCAAGCCTTTTTGAACGGGAAAAGCCCAGAAAGCATGGAATATTATTTCTTGGCTTTTCCAGGTAACCCTGGAATCAAGGAGCAGTCAAGAGTGCCAGATCAGAGTCAGAAGGTCAAAGCTTTTTTGCACTTAAGGAAAAGCCCGGAAACTAGTAGTGTGGAAAATTGTCTCCTGGCTTTCCGGGCTTTTCCAGGAATTCCTGGAAAGCCAGGGGAGCATGGACACTCCTGGATTTTCCCACCTTTTTCTTAGTTTTTCCGCACGTGCAAAATGAAATCCTGCAAAGCCAGCAATTTTCTGCTAAAATTGATCCTGGAGAATTCCGGACTCCTTTTAGCAGGGTCAATCCTAACAAAAAGCCAAAATGTCACAATTCTAGAAACTTTGACGGTCAAGGTCTTTTCTCTGCATTCTGCATGAAAATTTAAGAATCACAATGATTTCCGTGTAATCCTTTTATTCAGGGGAAATCATGTTGCCTGAAGAGAAGGCTATGTCTGCATCATTGATATTTGGATTATTTTACTTTACAAGCTGACAAAGTTGGGGGGAAACAACCCTTTACGACTAATCCTACAGCGATTCCCTCTTCTCTTCCTCCCAATTTTTTTCTCCCGCTTTCTGACTTTGCACCACACCCCACTATCTGAATGTCTGAATAAGCTTAACTACAAAAACAACTACACCAAATTTGTTTTGTTGCAGTTTTGTTGCTAAGCAACTACGGGGACCAACCAACAGAAATATAGCCAAATTTCCAAAAACAAATATGTATATTTTTCCTGCTCAGTGAGCCACGTGTGTGGTAAATTTTGACAATTCATTAGTTATAAACCATGGCCTCACTAATTCACGAGTAAGAATGCTTCATTCAGTCAACTGGTACTTTATATCTCCTACATGTCTTAATTGTACCTCTAAAAATCTTTTAAGGTGTTACATTATCAACTTACCGAAAACAGTGACCAGCAATACTTTTCTCAAATATTCCATACTGTCGATATAACAGGCTGGTAGTTTGAAGGTCCTCAGCTTCTGACCAGAAAATGCTAAAAAGCGATTTAAACTTTAATCAAAACAATCCTTGTGCATAAGAAGTTCACATATTGTGTTGTCCAAAAATGCAACATATCACTGTAACAAACTATGGCTTTTGCTTATAAGCTATGTGCAAACGGACGCAACATTGTTGGCTATCAACTCCGAACTTTGTTGGATGTTACCAACGCCAAATGCTTTATTTGCATGACCATAAAGGAATTACAGTATTGCAAAACCTATTAGTCTAAATTTAAGTACTAATTCAACTAATTAGTACGTGCAAAACATTACAAAACGTTACAGTTCTCTTTCATTCATTCATTGATATTAATTTGGTTCTTAATTCAAAGCATTTCGAGATAAATGAAACTAACTAACAGTTAATTAAATAATCAGAAGAATTCATAAGAAGAGATATTAAAATATCGTGTGAAAGTGATTTGAAGTCAGGTATTTTAGTTTCTAGTTTGGAGAAAAATATGTCTCTGATCTGAGGATATTTCTTCCGTCAGCAAGATACTTCGAGATGGTTTTGTCAGCCACATGTTCTTCACTATGCGACGAAATGAGTCAAAGTATAATGGCTTTTACCGCCAAAACCCTGCTTATTATCCTCGAATATATGTTTGAAGTCTTGATAAATACAGCCCTACCAGATTCATTAGCGTCTATCGGCAAAAACATTAAACAAAATTACTTTCGCACTAGCGTTTATTTCCTAGTGTCATGGAGCAGCAGGTAAGGCGATGGCCTAACGTATTAATAGTCCGGGTTCGACTCCCACGTGAGGAAACCTTTTTCTTTTCTTTGGTCGTTTTGATTTAGTTTTCTTTCTCTTTTTTCACGGCATATTTTATGTATTTGTTGTATCCCTGTATCTCCGCCAGCCTCGACTAGCACCTGCTATTTGTGGGCGGATATGTACTTCATGTAAATGTTAATTGTCAATAACGTGTGTTTATTCCTATTGCTTGTTTTTGTTTTTCCTCTTAATCGGGTGTCTTGTTTTGGTTTGGGGTCTTAAATAGGGTATTAATTTTCGTTTGTCTCATTCTTAAATAGGGTCAGGGTTTTAGACCCTGGGTGGTACAGTACATCTATATTGCTGTATCCAAATTTATGGGAGTACCCTCCTACCCCCACCCCCAGGGACTAAAAAGGTATTCAATATCAATTTAATGGTTCACTATTCAAGGGTAATCACTTGATAAACATGCTTTGGTTGTCAGAGAAACAAGACAGTTTTTTTAAACTTATGAATAATTTTATGGTAGAGCTTTATTCGATCGTTTCAATGATCAGAGCGGTGGATTGAGCGGTGGTTATTTAAATTGTTAATACCTGATTTTTAAACTTCATCGAGCATAAAAAGCGCAAGTTAAAAAGAAGACGGAAACCCATAAATTACTTTGATGTCTCCGGGAGTATGCAGTATTAATGACTTAAGATATGCGCTTATACATGCAGCGGCTATGTTCCAGCACGTTCGAAAAAATATTTAACAATTATTCCTCGAGCCCGAATGGGCTCTGAGTCAATAGCCCATGAAGCCGAAGGCCGAATGGGCTATTGCTTCAGAGCCCATGAGGGCGAGAGGAATAATTATTTTAGTAAAATCCAACTGGTTAGTCAAAAATTTCGAGACAAAATAGCTTTAGCTAGTTAAAGCTAGACTTTAATCCCTTTTAATTACAGACCACTAGTTAGATTTTACTAATATAGGATATTAGCCGGCAGACAACCTACAAGACGCTATAAAATGGCAAAATCCTTAAGTGATAAGTCGGTGATATTTTTTCCAGTTATTTTTGTTCACTCCTACACTTCGGATATATTTCACTATTTTTCATTCTTGAAAAATCTCAAGTGACCGCCTGCCCTTCGAACTTTACACTGCCGTAAATAAATTTTCGATATTTTCGCGACTGTAACTAGCATTTTTTGTGATCCGAAGCATTTTGATCTCAGTAAATAGTTCTTGGTTTGCATGAATTTCCTCGGGCATGGCTGCCTTAAATACAAATCTATAAAAGATAAGTGTATTAAAGAAACTACGGAAGGAAAAACGCGCAATAATTTTTAGAAAAACAAACATTACATCGAGGGGCGCGATCCATTCAACCAAAATTCAGACCGGTCCGACCGGGAAAAGAGGACTACCTCAAAAGGTGGACCTGTTTTTTCGAAACTTTTCCGGTTGGACCGAACCGATCCATTGAGTTTTGGACCGAAATTTCCGGAAATTTTGGTTGAATGGATCGCGCCCGAGGAATCATGCAGGCGTAGGTCATTAAGCTTTTTAATAATGCAGCCCAGAAATGATCGTTTGGGGAAAAATCCTTACAATGTCAAAAATCATAACTTCGGAATGACTTAGAAGAAAAAAGGAGAAAGGAAAAACAAAAATTAAAACTAGACCCTTGGAAAGTACATTGAAGGTGGTCCACGAAGACGAGACTGCCAATGGAATACTTAGCGCGCCAGAGTCGTATTTTCGTGACAATTCCGCGACCTAGACTTTCCAAAAAGTCTTTGTCTCAACTCCCTCCGTAAAA